TCTTTAGACCTTTATCCTATTTGTATATTACTATTTTATTTTTTAATTTTCAGCCACTTCTTTCATCTGAATCCTAATTTAAACACTTTGATTTACGTAGGACTTCCAGATAGTCTCACTGCTTTGCACTTGTTGTACATTAAGGGGCTTACAATGTTTCACTCAAATGGACATGAAAGCAGGAAACTAAGAGCAGCACAGAGGCCAGAGTAAGCCATCACTGCTGATCAGTAATAATAATTTCTAATAAAAAATTTTCTATACTTTATGCTCCTGTACTTTTACTAGTGTTGCAACCATACACTATAGAAAGAGGTATAAAATATATTCACTTTCATGATATGACTTAAAATTGAATCAAAGAAGCAGAACCCTTATAAATGTGTACATTTTAAACAGCTAACTACCTGAATGTGCTTCACAAATACATGCTTTAAAAATTGAGACAAGAAATGGGGATATAGCCCAGTAGCACAGCACTTGCCTGGCAAGCATGAGGTTGTAAGTTCAATTTCCAGTACAAAAAAAAAAAAAAATTGAGACAAGAAAAAGAATGATGCATCATAAATAAGTGGAGGAGAGAGAAGACAGCATTCCAAGGGCAGGGATAATTTGAACAGAGATGAAAGAGTTCAAAAAGCATGTAGTGTATTTAAGTAAATATGTTTAGCAGGATTATTTGTATCTATGTGTAGAGAAGAATGAGTTCATTTTGATAAAATGCAGGATCTTAAATGCCCTAGCCAAGGGCAGCCAAGGTAGCTCAGTAGACTAAGCACCTGCTTAGGCGAGCTCAGAGCCTGGAGCTCGATCCCCAGCACCCATGCCATGCCCACCCTACCCCCAGGTGTGCAGAGCAGGCCACTGAGTCTGGGCGTGGTGGTGCACACCTTTAATCCCAGAGCTGGGGAGGCTGAAAGCAGGAGGATCACTATGAGTCAGAGCTGCATAGTAAGATCCTGTACCAAATGCATTAAAAAAAAAAAAAGCCCCAGCAAGAAGTTTGAACTTTATTGTTTAGGTACTTGGGAATATTTGAGCAGTGGTTTCTAAGGCTAA